TTGGACTCACTGTCAGACCCTACACTGGTGCAGTGGGTCCTTGGTTTGTCCTGGTGCACAACAATGCGGTGGTGAGAGTATGCAGGCAGCTGCTGGAGGAGGAAGAAAGAATTTATACTGGCCCCACCCCTTCCTGCTTAATCCAGCTGAACAGCTCTGGGACATTATGTTTCACTCTCTGACTTTGCAGGAGCTCAGTGTTGGATATGATAAATCGATTGTTTTTTGTTTAGTGCCTTTCTACTCTGAGGAGTATTTATACAACATGCCTCATTCACCCATTCACATTTGCATGCACACTAGAACAGCCAGGGATCGAACGCACAACCTTCCAATTAGATGACAAGCTTCATCCCCTGACCTATAACAAAGAAAGGATTTCACCAGGACACAATCATTAGAAGCATCCCCGATGTGGTCAGAGATCGATACAAACATGTGGAGGTCATACAATTAATTTTGGGGGGTCTTTTTTTAACTTCAGCCCCCTGTAAGTTAATAACTTCCCATCATTTTGTTCTTAACACTTTACCCAAAGCATATCAGTGTAGATGTCAGCTTTGTTTATTTCCTCACTGAGATCTGATGTGTTTTAAAAGATTTCTTTTAATATCTTTGAGCAGTATATTTGAAAAACAGCTGCTGTTATACACAATGAGCTCGTTGGTTGTTACAAACAGCACTGCTTTAACCCTCTGAGGTTTCTACTGAAGGTGATAAGTAAATCTAACCCTGTGCTATGGAAATAGGAGATTCTGGATTTTTGAAAAATGATCCAAACTATAAAAAGCAGAGAAAAAACACAAAAACAGAAAATACACTTTGGTGTCAGCAGGAATAGAATTAAAGTTAGATCTGCTGAGGGTGGGTGTGCAGTGGCACTAAATGTGCTAGCAGCATTTTTCACTTTAATGATAGCTGGAACAAACAGTTTTTTCCTCCTCTTAGATTTCACTTACTGTAGCTCTGCAGCACCTTTTATCTTCTCCTCATCCTCTCAATGATAACAGCTCTCATTTTGTTCAGTATCACTGAACACAGCAACTCTCAGTGTGAACAATGTGTAATATAACCTCTGCTCTGTGTTGTTTCCTCTTTCAGACCAGAAAAACATGACAGCTGAGTCTGGACAGGACGTCACTCTGACATGTCGAGCTCCGAAAAATAACATCATCTTAGGTGTGGAGTGGAGCAGAGCTGACCTGAGAGATGAATATGTGCTTTTTTATCGGAATGAGCAGTTGGATCCAGACAACCAACATCCATCTTTTAAGAACCGGGTGGATCTGCAGGACAAACAGTTGAAGGATGGAGACGTGTCTTTGATTCTGAAGAATGTGTCGATTAATGACAATGGAACATACGAGTGTCGTGTCAAGGCAGGAACAAACCGTAGAAAGAGAGCTATTTTGGATGTTGACCCCATCAGCAGCATCACCCTGAGTGTTGTTGATCCTCCAGGTAAGTGAGTAGAGTTGAGTGTGTGTGTGATCAGAGGTGAAGCTGCTTCCTGGTGGTTGATGTTTGTTTCTAAAGATGTTGTTGATGAGACTTTGTAGAAAGCAGCTGGTCTGAGTGATGTGATCAGAGTGCAGTAGATAATGTCTGACAGCAGTTTGAAGAGGAAATGGATTCTGTTCTGTTCTTCACTCATCACCTACCTGACAGCTGACACCTCACACCTGTTTCTCACCTGCAGGTCACACAGGAGGAGACACAGAGGATGGAGGGAAGGAGGATGGAGGGAAGGAGGATGGATCTGTTGGACTGAAAGTTGGTTTATCAGTTTCTACTGTGCTTCTTGTTGCTGCTGTTGTTGGTTTTGTGATCTACAAAAAATGTCAACCCAAACAGACAGAATTCATGCCAGCAAACCGATGATCTACAGCATGGAAATGGCTCAGTGACTCATACAGAGTCAGAGAAGCCTGCATTGCTAAATCAAACAGAAGGATAATGTCTGACTAAAAAAACAAAAACAATAATGTCCAAGTAGAAAACCAGAAGAATCACACGTTTCCAAAGAGGTTTCAGAGGATGGACGATGGTTTGATAAATAAGCTGTGCTTGGGCTGAAATAACTGATGCGTGAACATCAGTTCCCTCAATATTTTCACTTTGCCTGAAGTAAGACAAAAAAAAGTGATTATAAAATCAAGAAGAACAGAAGTTGGGGACAAGGAGCAACAAATCTTTCCAAATTAGCTGATCATGTCAGAGTAACATGTTGTGTTCTTTTCATTTACATCTTGTTGTTTTGTGGAACGGTTTGTTCATGTTTTCAAGAAAAAAAAAGAGAGAAATTCTTAAAAATTTCTTAAAATAAGTGAAATATATATCATTGTTTTTTCCACAGAAGGTGTTCAGTTTGACTCAACTGTCCAAAAAGCTCAACATCCACTGATATAAAAATAACTGTTTGTTATCCCCAGTATTCATGAATGCAGTGTCTTGTATGTTACATAACCAGAGTCATTGAAAGTGTTTAATCTTCAGGTTCAGCTGTTTGTAAGATCAAACTTGTTCTGTGAAGTTTGAAGCACACAAAGTGATTCTCATGTATTGATCAGTTGTTATAGTATAATTATGCTTACTTTCTGATGGGGCTGGGTACATATTTTGTTTTATGTATTTTTTATACTTCATGTGAGTTCATTACTAATGCACTTGCAGCAGATAGACAAATGTAATTATTTATTGTTTTGTGTTAGCTTAAAATAAAACGTTGAGTGGAAAGCTGTATTGATGTGCTCTGAACAAATTTAAATGATGTTACTCCTGAACTAGAATGTGATTTCAATGGAGAACAGAGGAAAAAGGTATGAAGGAGTAAAAAAAGTGACTTTTTTTTCTTGAAATTGGCAAACTTCCTTAGTCTTCAAAATGACCTGTTCTGGTGACTTAGTGAAACAAATTAATCAGTCATCTTGTGATACAGCATAAATCTGAGAGGGAATTATGTTGTATCACATGTGGGTGTAACCTTCCCCAAGCCTTTATCTGTCCACTGCTAGCTATTTCATTTTATAGAATTGTTGGTTTGACCACATCTTTCAACACCATCTTTTCAAAGTCCTACTGATCACCACACTGTGTTTATGCACTAAACAATAGATAATTTCCTTCATTTTGAGTAAAACTGATTCTGAAATATGATTTCACTAACTCGGAGGGTATAGCAATCATAGCAGTTTGTCTTGATACAACTGTAATATTCATATTTTGACTTTATTCTTTAAATGTGGCCCAAATACTCTCTCAGGTGGGACCAAGGAAAGCACTCCAACTACACACAAGCTTTGTTAGCAACCTGCACATAAACTGTTTGGGTGCATCATACAGATATACTTCCTCTCATTTCAGAGTTTGTACAGACTCAGCTTTTCTTTATATCTCATTTTTGTACACTTACGAAGGACCCATCTCCAAACAAATAAAAATACATTATGATTGTACTTTGCTAAAATTGTAAGGTATCTGTACAGCAGTGGCGAGAGTATGCACCCCTGTGGTGCTCCCATGTTGGTGGTGATGCTGTCAGAGATACACCTACCCACCCTCTCCAGGGAGCATTTGATATGGCTGATGGCCTGGCCTCCCCCATCACATCCTGGGGAGGGCCCATATGGCTAAACCCCCCC